TTTGAAGTGATGCACCATGCCACTCTGGCTTGTCAACTTGTTTCACAAAACATCATTATTGATGATGTGCACCTGGACTGACTGTTGTGGTCTTGAATTTCCTATTGCCATGACTGGTTGTGTAGGGATGGTTATATAGTAAGACATATTCATGGAGCAAGCACATCCCCCGCCCTGCCCCAACTATCACATAAAGGGGGACTACTGTACTTACAATAGAATACTGTGTTAAAAGAACCAGCCAAGGTGCCCCATCTGGAAAAGTAGAGCAGAATGAACTTATTTACCACAATGTATCTTCTTAGAACATGGTGTGATGTTCTAGATAAAAACATTAAGGAGTACAGCAGAAAGGGAAAAGCCTTTTTGATTACCCGAAATTTGTTGTGGTTTTCTCCTAAAATGGTGTGGCTCATGTTGTATCTCAGCTGCTCTTCTAACCTCTATGTGAACATTTCCAGCAACCAAGAAATGCCCATAAACCACCACGGGTCATTGCAAATGGCTTCATTTGTTTTCATTTTTTGAAGTTTTGTCTTTTGATTTATATACTTTAAAAATAATTGAAATGAACATGAATCAGGGCAAAATAAAATAATGAAAACATAAAGGATGATGTGATGTGGGAATGTCTAGGAATATCAGGAAACTGAAGGACAGGGAGGCTACTGAATTCAATCAGAAGAGGGGATCCTGAGATCCTTGGAAATAATGGCAAAAGAGAAATGCAAAGACTTTTTTGTTCTAATGAAAGGAAGTGGATCATATTTCCAAGGGAGGTGAATAATCTCCTACCTCTGTGCTCTAGGAGGAATTATCATAAGGCTTTTATGCCATGCACATTTGAAAGCGTATAATGGACAGTGGCTCTTTGCCAGATATTTTACCAGAAATGTGAGGACATTTCTAGTAACAGTCCTTAATAGAAACTCCACTCTAGGGGTTTTAAAAAAAAAACCAGATAAATAGAACGTAATTGCTTCAATAAATCCATTTCCAGTTGTGCTGTCCCAGATGAAGGATGAAACACATTTATGGAGTTGGTTCCAAAGAAGTGAATTTAATTTTTCTCTACCCCCAGGAAGATAGTGGATGTCAATGAAAGATTTCCTAGTCAGTTCTATTGCAAGGGAAAGGAAATTCGCATGAATGAATCTTTTTACCTGGCCACCCCAAATCTTCTCTGGTTCTAGGGGCTTTCTTTTCAGAGCACTATGAGGTAGAACTGGGGGAGGGCTTCAGCGGTGTCAAGGTTTAACTGAAGCTCTTGATGCAACAGTAGAAGTGAGGATCTGCAGAACCTACAGTGCTGCTCAGACGCAGGGATATCTCTTTAGGATCTCTTCCTCCCTTTTTATGACTCTTGTGTTTTGCATAGAAGATGAACATTTTTTTTTGTCAAACAGTTTCATTATTGCAATTTTTACTGGAGTTTTAAAAATGATATCTAAATTGATCCAGGTATGAGTACATCAGGAGACATGATTACAGGTGCAAACAAAATTTAGAAGTGGACTCATTTGTACATTGCAAGTTCAGCTAATGGTATTTTCTAGAAGTTATCCAGCAAGTAAATAAAAATTTTGAGATCTTGGTGCTATATTTTGAATCTTAAGTATCTCCAAAGGTCTATGCAGTAAATGGTGGCACTGTCAGGAGGGCTTGTAGCCTTCAGGGACAGGATGGAAGGTCTTCAGGTCATAGGGGGTATGTCCTTGAAAGGGACTGGGGGACTCTGGCCCCTTTCCTTTTCTCTTTTTTGCTTTCCAGCCATGATATGAGTGACTATTCTCTGCCATGTGCTTCCTACCACCATGTATCTCAAAAGCTATGAGCTACAGGAACTGAAATCTCCAAAACCATGAGCCAAAATAAACTCGAGTTGATTATCTCAGGTATTTGTTATTATAACAGAAAGTTCACTAACATTCATGATCTGGGAGTGCCGGCATTTTGTTCCATTAATTCAAGAGATCCGTCTGTACCCTTTAGAGACCTTTTAAGATATACTTGTTTTTAAGAGTATCCCATCCTTAGAGGGGGCTTTCCAACCTCCATACAGAGCTGAGACCAAATAGGGCCAAGCCTTTGCTCAGAAGAATGGCTAATATCTGCTCAACAGTCTAGATACAGAGTAAGTTGGGAACTGAGAGTCTTGTATCATCATAAAATGGGAATAAAATCTATTGAGGGGCAGCAGCCACCAAGCAATAACATCTACAGAAGGAGTGAAAACAGAGCACTGTACTGAGCCAGACGGAAACTTGCACTGAATTAGATGGGAACAAGACCAGGAAGGAAGGCAGAGCCAGAGTGAGATGCAGGCAAAAACCAAACATTCACTCATGCATTCATCTGCTTACTCATTTGTCTCACATAGAACATTTTCTCTCCACCCAAGGTTCTTCTAGACACCAGGCTTTCAAATCAGATCTGAACGACTCCAAGTGCTTGGAGCTGAGATCTGAGTCAAATAGAAAAAGGCAGGGAACAGTGGCTTGAGTCAAAGACTTACGGAGATATCTAAATGCCAGACTTGAGCACAAGGGTTTAGTGGTGATTCTGGAGGCCACGGAGGGGGGAAGACAGCACATTTTAAATAAGGAAATGATATACATGGAGCTGGGCAGGAGTTTATGTGGAGAAGAGAACAAAGTTATAGAGTTACAGCTTGGGAGTAAAAGGGCTGTTGCATTTGTCTCAGTAAAAGGTATTTATAGCTTGAACTAGAAGTAGGGATGCAATTGCTAAAGCGGAGAAGGTAGGAGGAGAAGAGGTTAGAACTTTGAGAAGCACTTTTGTTGGAATCCAGAGGAGACAAGCCAGACGAGAGCTTGGGGAAAGATTCAGAGATAGAAGCCCAAAGAGGAAAGAGGTTTCCAGAATATTCCAGCTGGTTCGTTAACTGTGCTTTTGTGTAACCCAGAAATATAAGGATGGAGGAATGGCTATTTCAATTAGATGTATGGAAAGAGATGGTGACATTAAGGAATGATAGATGAGGGAATGTGTGGAAAATAAAAAATGGAAATATTAAATGTATTCTACTCTTTCAAGAATTAGAACAGGAAATGAAGGAGACCAGTTTAAGAGAACATCAAATATATACATGAGAATTTTTTTGGTTGCAAGTGACAGAAAATCCAACTCAATGTTCCTCTATCTGCAGATACCCTACGGGGTATCTCAGACTTCAGGCATGGACAAATGCAGTGTTCAGTTAATGCCATGAGCATCTGTTGGCGTGAGTGACTCCGCTGCTTTCCTCTATGGTGGCTTCCTTTTCAGATTTCCTTATGGTAACAAGCTAGTTGTCATAGTTTCAGTTCCATCTCTTCCCAAATTCAAACCCAGTGATATCAAGGGGGAGACTTTGACCTACTGTTCAAGCATAGGTCCTGGAATCAGCTCTGGTTTGGCTTGGATTGGCTTGACTAGAACCCAGGGCCCATTCCTGATGGAAATGGTCTAAACCTAGAGATGAAGTCCCCAGGGAGCACCTGGGCCAGGATGGAAAAGGACATGGCTCCTTGAAAGAAAATCAGAGATCTGCTGATAGATATGGAAAATGGAGGCCAGATGGCACAAACACAAGTCCAAACTCCAACTTTGAAATAGGGTAACTGAAGGATAGAGGCCTGGAACAGAAGGGAGGGAATGCAATCCAAATACTTGGATGGAATCAATTTTTGGAAGAAGGACACATTCTTATTTCTGAGATGGAAGTGGAGAAAATAATAAAATATGATGCACAGGTAACTTGACATGGAGGTAGTACATGTTGGGAGAACATATATTAAATAGCTTTAATTTTCAAGTAAAAACACAAGGGAAGGGAACATGTAATGCTATTTTCAAAAAAATAAGTTAAATTCACTGCAACAATTATAGTGCAGCAAGTATATAACAAATAAAAACTGAAAATAAAATTCTACAGTTACATGTCAAATGCTTTTATTCATAACACTGCAGATACAAATCTTCATAAAGTTTCAGAATAAACTTGTTTACACATATTATTTCAACATTTTGATTGAGTACTATTTCAGAGAGTGGATGTATCATAATTTACTTAGTCACTCTACTAAAAATGACATTTAGGTTGCTTCCGTTTATTTTTTTCATGCTATAATTATTATACACTTAGCTGTTTATTTTTTCTTGAAGTGTTTCTCTGGCCCAAGTTCCCAGGGATGAGGTAATTGTGTGAAAAGGAATGAATATTTTGTGCCTCCTAAGTGTGTGGCAAAATGACATTTTGTGAGATATGCACCATTGTTCATATCTCCAGCCATATATGAAATGGCTACTTTGATCACATGCCAAATATTTTAAATGTTTTATTCCATGAATATCTTCAAGATAACAGCTAACCAGCTGACATAACACGTTGGGCACTTGATGCCAGGATGGGTCTGACACTTTATTCTATTAATGAATCAATTTTCACAACAACCCTGTGAGGGAAAAATTTATTATGATCCCTGTTTTCACAGATGGGGAAACTTGGATATACGGAGATGAAGTACATGTTCCAGGTCCCACAGGTAGGCGGTGGAGAACTGGTATTTGATCCCTGGGAATCTGAATCTAGAATCTGCATATTCAGTCATATTCATCTTGCCCTGTGATAACTTTTTATTAATATTTTTCCATGCGGTGTTAATGACGTGTCTACCTCGGTGTGAGAATTTCATTATGTTCTTTTCCAGAAGATTCTTTCTTGATGGTTCTGCCCCAGGCTAGGGGTAACAGTAGAATAATCCTTATGCATTCTCATGTCCAAACACCTCAGATGGTCTAAATGGGGATATTTTTAATAAATCTTGCATTTTTTTAACCTCTTGGCCATATGTAAGTTCAGAAATAAAAATTACTAAGAGTTAAAAATAAATGTGTTGTTTCACCACCGAGGATATCGTAGGCTTTTTTCCCCCTTTCCTTTTGCTCTGATGGTTCTATAATCTAATTTGACCTTGCTGGTTTCCATGGAAACATACCTTCTGGATTTTCTTGAATATCTGAAATGTGGGCACTGCTTTAATGTGACAAGCATCAGCCAACTCCTGGAAAAGAAAAGAAATGGTAAGAAGTCGGAGTATTGTTGTCCTCTCTCTGTACCAGCTATATCACTTGTTGAATTATCAGGAGGTGTGTCTTAAAGCCCAGGGACACCTGACGCTTTTGTTTTGGGTTGTTGTTGCTAAGGATTGCTACCATTTGAGCTACATCTTCAGCCATTTTATTTTTTATTATGAGACAGGGTCTCAGTAAGTTACCAAGGGTCTTGTTAAATTGCCGTGGCTGGCCTCGAACTTGCGATCCTCCTGCCTCGGCCTCCTGAATCCCTGGGATTACAGGCATGTGCCACCACACCAGGCATGCCTGACAGTTTATAAACTCTCCTGCCAAGAAATTTCCAAGCATATACTCAAAGCCTCCAGAAATGTGACAACGGAGAATGAATGTTCCAGTATTCCTACGCTGTTCCATCCAAGAGCTCTAGAAGAAAGGAGAGAGATGGAGGCCAAAACAGAATGGATACCTAGTGAATGAACTCTCTTGTCAAGGACCTTGTGAAAGACTGCAGAGGAGCCCATTGCAAAAATAGGAACGAATAAAAATACCTTTGTAAGTCATACTGAAGACATGGAATGATGTATGGGTCTAGCATTTTAACACACATTTCTTTCTTTTAATACCTACACCCTCCTCACTGCTCATCTTTTTGAAAGATTTGGAGTCCAAAGGCAAGAAAATAGGCTGAAATCCCAATAGTCTTAATCCATTCCAAATTACTTCCAAGTGGTAGGATGGATTTCTTTTTCCTCTTGTAGAGGACACCAAAGAAAATTAGCCATTCACAGGATAAACTGAATTGGACCTCTCTCCTTAATATAGCACCCTTTTAATTGGCATTAAATCTCTTTCCCCACCCTAACGCAAACACTCATACAAACACACATGTACACACAAACACAGTAAATTATAATTTTCACGACCATAGTAATGATACCCAATAAATAAATTAGTATAAAATAGTGTGGTTTTTTTTTGTTTCACCTTAAAAGATAAGAGCTACAGTAAAAAAAAAAAGTCTGATAATTACATGTGTTGGCAAGGATGTGGAGAAGTTAGGACTCTTATTGTGATGATGGGAATATGAAATGGTGTAGTTACTTTGGAAACTAGTTTGTCCATTCCTTAGAAGTTAAGTGCTGAGTTACCACATGACTTCAAAATTCCACTTGTAGATATATATCAAAAGAAATGAAAACTCAGGTTCACACAGGAACTTGTACACTAATTTTTATATCAGTATTATCTACAATAGTCAAAAAGGACAAACCCCCTAAATGTTCACTAATGGATGAATGGATAAATAAAAGGTGGCGTTATCCATATGGTGGATTATTATTATATGATTCAGCAAAATAATGTAGTACTAATACATTTCATAACATGGATGAACCTTGAAAATATGCTATGTGAAAGAAGCCAGTCGAGACCACCTATGATTCCATTTCTATGAATGAGCAAATCTATAGATGGTATGTAGATTTGTAGTTGCCTCCTGTGGGTGGGTGTGGTGCACGGAGGGAGGGAATTGCCATGATTGATAAAGAGTATAGTGTTTCTTTCTGGAGTGATGAAAATGTTTTAAAGATGACTGTAGCAATGGTTGCACAAGATTGTGAATATAAAAAGAGACAAAGAGATGATGATCCTAGCTGTGCTTTCTGAGTACACAGGGTATGATTCAGCGGAAAGGGTAATTAAGTACTGTCACACTTTAATGAGGCTTAGAGGAAATGGAGAAGTGGAACTTCTATTACACACCAGGCACCATGCTATATATCATATGCATTTTATAATTTCTAATTGTCTTTGTCATATTTAGCAAATAAATAAAGTTTATAAAGGTTCAACCTCTACAACTTCAACCTTTAAAATGCTGAACAGTGAATAACATATTTTTTTTCATCCTAAATCTTATTCAATCTAAGGTATCTATAGACCACTTGTTATTGTTATTACTATAGTTTGGATGTTGAATGTTCCCAAAGGCCCACATGTTGAAGATTTGGTCCTGGGGTGGGGTTATTGAGAGGTGATGAAACCTTTAAAAGATGGAGTTGAGTGGGAGATCTGAAGGCCAATCCCCCTTGAAGGGGAGTGTGGGACCCTGCAAACTCTTCCTTTCTCTATTTTGCTTCCTGGCAATGAGGCGAACAGTTTTGTTCACCATGCTCTCCCACCACGATGTGTTGCTTCACCATTAGACCAAAGCAACAGGGCCAATCAATCATGGACTGGAACCTCCAAAACTGTGAGCCAAAATAAACCTTTTCTCTTTATAAGTCTATTATCTCAGTTATTTTGTTATAGTGATGGAAAGTTAACACCGTTATTTTTCCTTGTTATAAGTTAACAAATGTGTTGGATGCAGTGGCACATGCCTGTGATCCCAGATTTGGGAGGCTGAGGCAGGAGGAACTCAAACTCAAGGTCAGCCTGGGAAACTTAGCAAGAACATTTGTCAAAATAAAAAAAAAAAGGCTGGGAATATATCTCAGTGGCAGAGTGCCCCTGAATTCAGTCACTGGTACCACACACACACACACACACACACACACACACACATGCACACAAAATTAAGAAATAGTAGGAGAAATAATTTTGCAAAGATATTATATATAGACAAATTTGGGTTGAGAATATGAGGCTGATTATTTTGGGTGGGGTGGGGTAGGGATGGCTCTAGAGATAGAAGGGAAGAAATCCTGGAATCTCTTGTGATATTTAAGAAAACCCACAAGAAAGCACAAGATAAAGTAAGAGGAAAACAAGTTAAAATATATTCAGTTTGGTTTTAGAAAATGATCGATAATTTATCACAGGATGGACATGAAATTATTTTTCAACATGAACTTAATTCCATTTGACTGGTATTGTTTTCCTGGAGCATCTCTGCTGAAGAAGATTCTGGGGCAGAATCTAGGGCAAGTGATGGAGAACGTTGAGATTGATTAGGGCAGCAGGAAGAACACATATTTGCTAATTTAAAAAAAAAGGTAATAAAAGACATATAAGAGCATTATGTGGGACTTTACTACTACAGTTTATTTAAAAAAAGTGAAATTCTACTTGATTCTACACTGATTATGTAATCATGGAGACAATGCTGCTCAATTACTATGCAAATGGTCGTAACTATCCACAGGTTGAGGGTAAGATTCTTACCGGAGAATCGTCCACATCCACGATAGCAAACCTTACGTTTTGGTATTGTAGAGACATGTCCTTAAAAATAAAAGAATAAAGATTCCCCGTTAGCTTTGTGCTCATATTAAAGCACACATTAGAGGTGTCTTTCGGCAAAAATAGAAATGAGCACAAAGTTGTCCAGGCGAGCTAAGCATCATTCTGGTGTTTTACTACTGCCCAGAGCATGAAGCCCCAGGTCAAATGCCAGACTGTGCCAAGGTGAAGAGAGGATCATGGGCAGAAGCTGAGTCCAAAGAACCAACCTGATGACTAACATTCCAAAGCTGGAAAAGGACAGACACAAAGCAAAGCAACAGTGAGGCGTCTCTGTGGGTCCAGACCTACCTGGCAGGGTCTGGGGAGGGATGGGGGATTTTTCCTGGGAGCAGGTTGAAGGACACTGTGTTCTTCAAGATGCAGTTCTCAGCTGGAGGTGGAGCCCAGTGGTAGTGTTTATCTAGCATGCGCGGGGCCCTGTGTTCCATCCCCAGACCCACATTTTTTTTTCCTAAAATCCACATTTAATCATGAAAAAATCCTTATTAAAATTCTTCTATTTTAGGCAGGTGTGGTGGTGCCCTCCTGTAATCCCTGCAGCTTGGGAGGCTGAGGAAGGAGGATCGTGAGTTCAAAGCCAGCCTCAGCAACTTAGTGAGGCCCTAAGCAACTCAGCGAGACCCAATAAAATATTAAAAAGGGATAGGGATGTGGCTCAGTGGTTGAGCATCCCTGGGTTCAATCCCTGGTATTAAAAAACAACAGCAACAACAACAACAACAAAAAAAAAACAAAAAAAACCTTCTATTTTGACTTTATAGAGGGAGAGAGAGAGAGAGTGGAGGGTCATGAACTTATAAAACAAAATCCTTCCTCACCAGCCTCAGTTTCCTTTTTGAGGCTCACCTTTTGCCACGTCCATCGTATACGCTGGGGCAGGCGAGCTGGCCAACAGTGACGACTCCATGCGATTTCCCAACAAATCCACTACCCCTCCTGTTCCAGAAATGCTCTTTTCAGGGAGCATTTTCATGTCTGCTAATTCTCTTAGTTGAGGGTCCCCAAACTACACCCTGTGGACTAAATCCAACTCTCGACTTGTTCAAGTTTTATTGGAACAGTCTGGCACTTTGTTTCTGTATTGTCATTGGGTTTTGATCTCCAACAGCAAAGTTGAGTAGTTGGGTCAGAGACCTGATATTTACTGTTAGGTCTTTACAAGAAAAATGACTGACCCTTGCTCTAAGTTATCAAGGCGCAGGTCAAATGAGATTGTGGAGGACAATTAAGACTTAAGTTTAAAATCACTTCTTAAGCCCCACATTATCTTATGACTCATTTTTTAAAAATTCTCAGAATACATCCTTTAGTATTATTTTCAGAGAGACTCTGTGGGTAGTAGATTTTTATTTTTTGTGTGTGTATCTGAAATGTCTTGAATTCTTCTTCCCTCTCCCTTGAACAAAGCTTTGGATAGCTAACTTCATTCCACCCCACCTTTCCTGCAGAGCCTGAAAAATAAAAAAATAATAAAAATAAAAAAAAAAGGAAAGGAATAAAAAGGAAAGATTCCTTGCAGCTAGAGTCTGGGTGCACACACACTTGGTTTTATCAGCGGGATGCTTGCAGGTGAGGCTTGGAAGAAGACACGAAGCTACTTTCTTCCTACCTTTGCACATTCCTGCTGCACAGAGAGGGTGGGCACTGGGAGGCAGTTCTGCAGGAGGCAGCCGCAGAGGCTTCCGATGTCCGGACACAACGCCCTGGATGTCTAGAGGCATCTGGGGCAGTCACAGTGGAGGTCCTGGTTCCAACTCCCTGGCTCTTGCTCTGTGGATGGTGCTTTTCCCACCCCATGGAGGCCTCATGCTTCCCCTCACTTCTGATTATGGCAATGCTGGGATCCCCACAGGTGGGCCTACATTGTTCTGAGACCCCTGTTCATGGAGTCTCAATCCAGAGTCCGTTCATCCAGCCTTCCAATGATTTAATAAGCATTTAATTCCTTGTATTAATTTTTTTCCTGTCAATTTGGTTTGTTTCCAGATTTGATTGCTGGCTGATACAGTGACCTAGAGTAAGTGGAAACTTTTGTCCAAGCCCCTCATGTACTATGGGTTAAAAAAAAAATCACACGCAGCGCATGTGTTCTCTTGCAATAGTTTGGGCCTTACAAGAAAAAAATAAGAAAAACGTGAAATTCTTCCATTCACAATTTCCCCCAATTTTCACTCATTCATAGAAAAACAAACTTTTTTGATAAGCATTTTTCTCCTCCCCTTTGTATGTGTGTGTGTGTGTGTATTTGTGTACTATAAAGGTTTATAAATAAACACAGATACCTTTATAAGTAAATGTATGTGTTTCTGTTTTATGTAAATGGGACCATGCTATACACACTTTTTCTATACTCTGCTCTTCTTACCTAATGATAAATTGTCTTAGAGATAATCCCATCATTCCATATGGGCCTACTTCATTTTTTTTAACATCTGAATAGTATTTTGCAGTGAGGGTGCACCAACATTTATTTTAAAAATATGTTTGCATTAGTCTGGATTCCAGCAGAAAACAGATGGCACAATCAAATTAGTATAACTCGTGGAAGTTTATGCAGTGACTAACTATGATTACCTGTAAAGACAAGGACAGGTTTAGGAGGAGCTTCAACAGCCAAGATGTAGCAACAGCAGAGCTGTTACCCCTAGGGTCTGAAGGCAGCAAGAAGGGAGTTTACCAAGACTTAGATTTCATTTTACATTATGAAAATACTTCCTGTAGGGCTGTAGAAATTTGATCAGTTGTAACTTTGTGCCACGTGAGTAGATTTATACTCCTGCACTTGAGCACTGGCTATCTCTGTGCAAAGTTAGGGAGATTCTCTTTTTTCAAGTTTTGAGTGTCAGAATGGAAGGGTTTGTTAGATATTAAAATGTTCCTTCTCGGGGGCGGGGGGGTCTGTGATTCCAGCCCTTACCTCTTCCTTCTCTTTGAAGCATCTAGACCCATATCAATTATAATCAGAGGACAAGTGCTTCAAGCCATTTGCCACAACCGGAGCAGCCAGTAACAGAAACAGTTCCAAGTAATATCCTATATTAACAGTGCCTGAGGAAACCCCTATCACCTGAGAGAGGCCCCCACACCCATTATAAGAGTAATCACAGAAGGTGTACCCCACATACTCTACTGTCTATGCAACAACTGCCTAAATGGCTAGAGTCCCTACTCAAAGACCTGTAGAGACAGTAGGTCTCTCCAGCTCTGATACAGTATGTACTTTGCCCAAAGTTGCTAGTCTCAGCCAAGGAAGCTACAGGGAGATTACACTGAGGTGCCAGGCTGGAAATAAAGTCAATTTTGTACACTAAGCTGTTATGCCAAGACACATTGTCAGCAGAAAGCTGCTTCCTAAGACAGCTGTTCCACAAACAGTAGAAATATCCATCCAACAGATGCATAATTTTCAACACAGAAGTACAGAAGCACAGTAAAACAAGGTAATATGACTTCTTCTAAAGTTCATGACTCTCTAGTATCAGATTTCATAGACACTGAAGTGAATGAAATACCTGATAGAGAATTCAAAAGAACAATTTTTTAAAAAAAGTCCAATGAAATCCAAGAGAATACAAACAATGATATGAAAGAAGAAAGACAATGCAGTATTTGAATATATGAGCAAGACATCGAGGAAAGAGAGATTTTTTTTTTTTTGGGAAAAAAGCAACATCAGAAATACTAGAAGTGAAAAGCTCAGTATGAAAAATTCACTTAAAAACCTCAACAACAGACTAGATCAAGCAGAAGAAAGAATATCAGAGCTCAAAAGCAAGTCTTTACAAATATTATATTCAGGCAGAAATAAAGAAAAAAATTAAAGAAGAATGAAAAGAACATTCAAGATCTCTGGACACCATTAAAAGATCAAAGGTTGTCATTATGGGTGTACCCAAAGGAGAAGAAATAAATGTCAATGGCATAGAAAACCTATTGAATGAAATGCTCCAGAAAATTTCCCAAATCTTGGGAAAGACAGGGACATCCAGGTATAGAAGGTCTTTAGAATCCTAAATAGACAAGACCAGAAAAGAACCTCACCATGACATATTACAGGAAACTGTCAAAAGTACAGGACAAAGAAAGAATTTTAAAATCTTCAGGAGAGAAGCATCAAGGCACAATTAAAGGCAAACCCATTATACTAACTGCAGAGGTTTCAAAGGAAAAGGCCAGGGGGCATGGAATTATGTATATCAAGTCCTGAAAGAAAATCACTGACAATCAAGATCACCCAGCAAGGTCCTTCAGAATCTAAGAAGAAATAAAGATCATTACTATAAGCATACAGTAAGAGAATTCATGACCAATAGGCAGCCTTCTAAAAGGTACCTAAGAAAATCCAACACCCAGAAGTGGAGGAAAGGTAACTACAATCATGAGACCATGTGAAAGAATAAATCCCAAGAGAAGCATAGATACGCAAATGAGAAATAGGAAATAATCCAATATTATATTAGAGTAAAGCCTCTAACCACACTTTTCACAAAAGTTAAGAATATGGAATCAGCCTAGGTGCACACCAACACATGAATGGATAAAGACTGTCTATATGCATCATATATTCTTAATACTACAAGGGAGTATTAATTAGTCATAAAGAAGAATAAAATCCTACTTGCAGTAAAATAGATGGAACTGGAGGACATCATATTAAGTGAAATAAGCCAGACACAAAAAAGCCAAGTATTGCATGTTCTGTCTCATACGTGGAAAACCAAAAATGAAAATAAATAAATAAAAATTTTACCTGAAAGTACAAGAGAGATTTCTAGGGACTGGGAAGGGTGTGGTGAGGAAAGGCACAGGGTGGTATAGAAGAAGGGTGGATGGACATGATCAATTCAAGAGTATATGGAAATATCACAGTGAATCCCATTTATCTGCACAATAGAAATAGAAATAAGTAAAGTGTAGAAATGTTTTTTTTTAAATGTTTCCTCTATGTATTCCAAGACATAGTAGGCATGTTGTGATGACATGTAGCCCATTTCTCTGTTTGACTGTAAGTTCATTTTTAATTAAATGTCAAGGTTGGGACTGTGATTAGAATCAGTTTAGGTGGATTCAAGTAAAAAAATGTCAAATGTTAGAAACCCTTATTGAGAATAGAACAGAATATTTTTAGTTTCAGTTTCATAGAGGAATCAAAACTTTGTTGTTGTTTTTCTATACTTGGGATTGAACCTTGGTGCTACCATTGAGCTACATCTCCTACCCTTTTTATTTTGCAACAGGGTCTCAATTTTCCCAGGCTGACCTTGAGTTTGAAATCCTCCTGCCTCCATCTCTGGAGTCTCTGGGATTACAGAAGTGTGCATTGTGCCCAGCTCAAGACATTTTTATATTTGAAGGAAAGAATAAATTTCATGAAAGAGAGCAAAAGTAAATGTGAAACTTTTGCAAAATAAGAAGAAATGAAAAGAAAATGCCCTGAGATTCTTTCTGTTTTACCAAAACCGAATAGTATAATGAGCTTTTAAGTGGGACAACAGAGAAGTTAGATGAAACAGTATATTAAATATTAAAATTTTAATTTGGAGACACTAAAAAATATGAACTAGTGCATATGTAGAAAAACAGTTTGGATATAAACATACCATTACAACCAAGTAGATTATTTTACTAGAATATTTTACCGAGCAGAGCAGGGAACAAGAAAGGATGTGTAAGACATGGTTTGCCTACCATTTGCAACAGCGTGAATGGACCTGGAAGATATTATGCCAAGTGAAATAAGCCAGTGGCAGAAGGACAAATATTACACAATTTCACTTCTATGAAGTATCTAAATATTCACTTATAAAACCTGATAATTGAACAGTGGTTACTAGGGAGTGGTGGGGGAGGAGGCGTGTAGAGGGAGTTGTTCAATTGGTAGAAAATTTGAGTTTTAGAAGATAAATGAATTCTAGAGATCTGCTGTACAGTGTAGCATTTATTGTCAGCAATATGATGCACACTTAGCAGTTTGTTAAAAGGGTAGATTTCAGGTTAAGCATTCTTACTACCTCTTTCAGGGAAGGGTGAGAAAAAGCATAGAGACCCAAGGACATTTTTACAAGTGATAGATAATGCTTATTACTCTAATTGTGGAAATGGTGATCACAGGAGTTTGCTTATGTCCAAATTCACCAGTCATGTATATTAAATATGTTCACTTTTTTTGGTCTATAACTCAATAAAGTTACAGAAAAAATGAAATAGAGAATGTCTTTTAAAAAGAGATCTATGATCTTTTTCCCCCCCTTATAATAGAATTGAAGATTTAGGGAATGTTTATTCTTTTATATTATAGCTAAAAATAAGTATCATATGTATCTTATCTATTCCAATATTTTAAAGTTCTGAACTCTGGAACTTTGGCAAAATGTCATTATTGTAATGTGATTAGTTTTTTTTTTTTCATTTTTATAGTTGGACTCTTTTGCACATCTTGACATTCCTTGCTGAATTATCTATAGATGAGTAGTATTAATCTTCTGGTGTCCTCGAATTAGATCCCAGTGAATTTTCTACCATTTCCTCAGGATGCTCCAAAATGCTATATGGCCCCAAAGTGTGTCATAAGTGCCAATACCTTAAAGAATTTCTGGGAAAATTATTTTGGGGGCTTAAATTCCTTTTATAGCCATGAACTCAATACTATTGATACTTACATGAAAAACAGAACATATCTCTTTGCAGAAACCACACCAGTTTGCTGAAAATTCAACTACCACAAGTTGACGTCCAGCATCTTTCAAAAATGTATTGAATTCATCCTGAAACCAGAACACAAATAAGGAAATGTGCTCAATCACAGAATCTCATAGAGCCTTACAGAGAATAAAATCACAGGGTTGGTGGGATTGCAAATTAGTGCAACCACTGTGGAAAACAGTATGGAGATTCCTCAAAAAAACTAGGAATAGAACCACCGTATGACCCAGTTATCCCACTTCTCGGTATATAACCAAAGGATTTAAAATCAGCATACTATAATGATGCAGCCATATCAATGTATACAGCAGCATGATTCACAATAGCTAAGTTAAGCTATGGAGCCAAACTAAGGGCCCTTCAACAGATGAATGGATAAAGAAAATACACAATGGAGTGCTACTCAGCCATGAAGAAGAATGATATTATGGGATTTGCAGGTGAATGGATGGAACTGAGACTATCATGCTAAGTGAAATAAGCCAGTTCCCAAAAGTCAAACGTTGAATGTTTTCTCTGATATGTGGAAGCTAAAACAAAATGGGGGAAACAAGAAAGAAAGAGAGAAAGAAAAAAAAAGAGGTGAGGGGAATTTCATCAAAATAGAGGAAATATCAGTAGAGTAGATGAAAGATATTGAAGAGGAAGAAGAAGGGATGGAAAAGGGGAAGAGTGGTGGAATGATCTGACTGAAGTTTTGTATGTGCATGGATAAGGCAAGGTGGGTTCAGTATCAGGTGTGCCCACAGGACACTAATTTAAAAAAATAAACTGTAAATGGATTCAAGAAGGATTGGTGGAGTGGAGGGAGGATAGAGGGAACAGGTGGAAAGTGTTGGGGACTGAATCAGAGCAGGCTGAATTCCATGCTTTTGTGATTATGTGAAGATGGATCCTGCCTGGTGTTGTATCATAACTAAAAAGAGTTAAAACAAAACAAAACAAAACCTTAACCAAGTGCCCTACCTTACTGTTCTCAAGCCAATACAACCTTTTATAAACGTGTCAGAGGTCTGACATATTTCTCTTTGTAAGTACATATAAATGATGAAAATTCCACAAAACATTTAGGAGTTTATTCACAAAATGAGTTGGTAGTGGAAGCTGTTGTTGGTGAATTACCTCTGGAAAGAAAATGAGGTTGGCCAGAAAGAAATGAGAGTGGCTAGGTTGGAGGTGAGCTGTCATTCAAAATGGAAATCTATATTTGATTTTTTTAAACAAAGCCCTAAAGATTGACTTATTGGTGAAATTAAAGGAAGAATTAATGTAACACCTTCAGTAATTTCTTGTTTTGTTTTTGGGGAGTGATCATGATTCATTTCTCCAAGTCAATATAGGACTCAACCCTGATTCACCTAGCTTCTCTCATGGTCTTTAATGGGCACCTGGTATCTATTCCTGGAGTCTCTACTGGTGAGTGAGTGATTTGCTGCTCTAGAGGGCTCTGTTCAAGATTTATTTTTCCTTTACCCATTGGAATTGCAACAATAGTAGCTTATTTACTCCGTGCTTGATGTTTTGTCCTATAATCTCTAAAAACACTCTCTGGAATATGTACTATTATCATCTCTATTTCACAGATGAGAAAGCAGAAGTTCATTAACTTTCTCCTGGTCAGCCAGCTGGTGAGTTATGTAGCTGGGGTTGTTAATCTACGTGGTTTGCTTCCAGAGCCCATTCCCTCTGCCAAGGATACAAATCATCTACTGAGTTCTTCATAATAGCAGGGCTCACTCTCTCTTCCGCTGATCTTAACTGCATCCTGTGCTCATCCCTGCACCAATCATTAAGATGGGGTGCCGGAAGCCATCCATTACCCATCTGAACTAAAGCGGTGTTGAAGCCATTAGGCAGGAAAGCCAGGTGTCGGGAACTGCCAGTACCAACCCCACTGGTTGGAGGATGCCTAGTTCATGTGGCGTCCTACCCGGCTCCATCACAAGTTCAGCACAGCACCGGAGATGGGGTGACCCACAGGAGCCACACAGCTTCTTGGAGATGTGTGTGGTGTGACAAATGTCAATCAACCTGTTTACTGCAAGGCCCCTGCCACACTGAGAAGCAAGCACCAAGACTCCTCCCGCTGAAACCTTATCCCTGCTTTGGATGTACTCCTCCTTAAATAAGGAATTGGGGCCCCTTTTCAATTGCTCAGTTTCAGCTCCCGTCAGGACTGGAAGGCCTATCAGGCGTTCCTCTTTATCTATCTAATTTCTAGCTCTGTCTTTCTTTCTTTTTTTTTAAATATTTATTTTTCAGTTCTTGGTGGACACAACATCTTTGTTTGTATGTGGTGCTGAGGATCGAACTCGGGCCGCACGCATGCCAGGCGAGCGCGCTACCGCTTGAGCCACATCCCCAGCCCCTGTCTTTATTTCTTACTGATTGTTTCAGACTTTTTATTTCCCAGGCAGCTCACACTGCCTGAGCAGGGACCTACCCTGGTAGGCCACCTGGCATGAATGGGGGACGGGATCATGAGTTGGATTAAGTCAAACAGGGCCTATCCCCACTGGGGACGGGATTCATACTGTTCATGTGCCTGCTCTATAGTAGTGGGGTCTTGACAATCATGTTCCCATTTGGTTTAGTTTCAAGTGGTTAAAACTGAAAACTCAAAGATGTGCTTCCTCCTATACCCAAATTCCTCTAGGAGAGAAGGATACAACTGTGATCTAAAACACAGACAAGAAAACTTCTTGCCTTCATAGAGCTTACATTTGAGAAGCAGAAGCCAACAGTAGGATGGATAGTTAAAATATGTAGTTTGTAATTATAGTGATAATTGCCAAGAAGAGAAAAATGAAAGAAGAAGGAAAAACAGGGGGTGAACTACAAGTATCCACCTCAAAGGCTTGTACCACCTTGAGGTCCACTCAAAGAGAAGGGACAGTTGAATAAAGATGGGAGCGAGACAGTGGGCCCTCAGGAGAGGTCTCTGGGGAGGAGAGGCGAGGGCTTCTCAGGGAAGAGCAAGGCCCCAGGTTATCCTGTGAGATCCCTAGGAAATTTTTAAAATGAAGTTTCAAAAGCATTCGCCAACATGTTTTAAAACAAATTGTTTTTTTTTTGTAACAAAGTTACATGGCAGTGCTTTCTTTTAATCTGGTCATTGTCATTTCTGCAACCTTATGCATAGTCACATTTAGGGAAAATGTCCAAAGTCTAAATCTGAGGGTCTGGTGGCTGTGGGCTCAGGAAACCGTGACCTTCCCATACCCCCACCCTATATCCTCTTCTAACATGGCCTGATTCTAATGCCCCCATTAGTAGGATTGAAGATAATGCTCATATCATCCCTTAAACAAGGTAGGCCCCTGTCTTCTCTTGTAGAGGCAAGTTTCTTCTTTATAATGATCTCTGCCTTATACATGAATTTAGATTTATTGGGACAGTAACATTGAGAACCAAATCAATAAATGGGTTAAGGAGGGGCTGGCATTTTGGCTCAGGGGTAGAGTGCTCACCTAGTTTGATCCTCAGCACAAAATAGACAAAATAAATAAAATAAAGGTATTGTGTTCAACTACAACTAAAAAAATATTAAAATATGAGAAATTAAAAAATAAATGAACTAAGGAACTGAATAGACACTTCACAGAAGAAAAATGCAATTGTCAACAACTATATGAAAAATTGTTCAGCATCTCTAGTAATTAGAGAAATGCAAATTACAACTATACTGAGATTCCATCTCACTCTGGTCAGAATGGCAATTATCAAGAATACAGGCAACAATAAATGTTGGTGAGGATGTGGGAAAAAAAGTATATTCATACATTGCTGGTGGGGGCTGCAAATTGGTGTAGCCAATATGGAAAGCAGTATGGAGATTCCTCAGAAAACTTGCAATGGAACCACCATTTGATCCAGCTATCCCACTCCTCAGTTTGTACCCAAAGGACTTAGAATCAGCATACTACAGTGACATAGCTACATCAATATTTATAGCAGCTCAATTCACAATAGCCAAACTATGGAACCAACGTAGATGCCCTTCAATAGATGAATGGATACAGAAAATGTGGTATTACTTAGTCTTAAAGAAGATGAAATTATGGCATTTGCCAGTAAATGGATGGAACTGGAGAATATCATGCCAAGTGAAATAAGCCAATCCCCCCCAAAACAAAGGCCAAATGTTTTCTTTGATATGCAGATGCTAATTCATAATAAGTTGGGGGGGGAGGCTATGGAAAAATAATAGAGCTACTTTGGATTAGGCAGAAGGGAGTGAAGGAAGGGGAGAGGTAGGGATTAGGAAGAATAGTAGAATGGATCAGATATTGTTACCCTATGTGCATATATGATTACACAACTGGTGTAATTCTATAACATGTACAACCAGAAGAATACTCCATTTATGCATGATGTGTCAAAATGCATTCTACTGACATGTATAACTAATTTGAACAAATCACAGACACAGACACACAGATACACACACAGACACACACACACACACACACACACACACTCCAGAAAGTTCTAGAAACAACAACAACAAAATCTACCTAGGAATTTTTGATACTACTCATCATTACTATTCTCCATCCCATTCCAGAGGCATGTCTGAGGCTTCTGCTCTCTTTCCTAGGATGCAAGAAAAGACATCAACCCTCTCACTTTGATAGAATTTTCCAGGTCCTACTAAAGCAGAATCCATGAAACAGGATACATTGGGAGCTGGCCAAGGTCTAGATAGAATCAGAGCAAGAAATAGGAATTGAGGAGGAAGAAAATCCTTTTTGATCAGTTTGTCCCTTGGCTGCCTCTCTAGATGGGAGCGAGACAGTGGGCCCTCAGGAGAGGTCTCTGCGGGGGAGAGGAGAGGAACAACCCACAGAGGAAGAATGGGAAACCTCCCCTTGCTCCACAGCAGAGAAAGAATGGGGGAGGTGAAGGAAATAACTCTTGTTTACCAACTTGGTTTTTAAGGTGGTCACTTCTGAACTATTTAATGAAGCCAAGTAAATACTTGCCACGTCTTTAATAACATGCACCATGATTTATATCGGAGAATTGTTGACGAAGCTCTCCTGGGGGCTCAGGTGGATTAATATAGCTAGACTATTTGTAGGATGATGGAGCTCTCCTGTGGTCTCAGGTGGATCAATATAGCTAGATTATTTGTAGGATCTTTGTTGGAATATAAGGGCAGCTTCTCTGTGACATCATTGAATATACAGTCTCAGAACCTGGAACTTTGGCAGAGTTTGGATCTAGTTTCACTTTTATGCCACGGCTAGTTAGTTAACTTGTGGTCAGCCAAGCATCAGCAAATGGAGGCCCTTGTTGCAGAATCAATAATGTGTCTGATTTGTTTAGGTCTTTTATCACTGATTTCCATACATCCTTTTCCCTTCTCCAACTCCACTCCCAATCACCAAATGAGAAGTAACTGGGGTAATAGTAAACACATAATAGATATTTTCATTTAGGATTTCAGAGGAATTCTTTTGCTGTTGAGAAAAATACTAAAGTCTTAATCCTAAAATAGGTTTCCTGAAAAAATTTATGAGTCATAGATTCCCTGACTTTGTTATTTTGCCCTATTTAGAAGGTAAAGAAACTTCATTTTTAGCATTAAATCAGAGATTGGCAAAACTTTTCTGCAAAGGGCCAGATAAGACCCTTTAGGCTTCAGGAGCCACAGACAAGATTTTTTTTGGGCATGTTCTTTGTTTTTATAACCTTTAAAAAAATCTAAAGCTATCAGCTCACACAAAAATAGTAGCAGTTTGGCAAAGCCCTGCAGTTGATGATTTGCCATTTTTCAGAATTCGATGTCAGAAATAAACCAAATAGGGCCACAGCCTATGTTCTTCAAATCTTCAGAGCAACAAGAAACAACAAAGTGTGAGAAATTGCAGATTTTGTCATAGAACAAAACTCAGCAAAGTCCTTCTTTCTATTTTATCCATACATCCAGCTCTGGGCTCTAAGTGGGTGAAGTGACTGGCCCTGGGGGGACTCATTCTTTTTCCCATTGTCCCCTGTCTCCATCATCATCTGTTGCTTTGAGGACACAAGGAATTCTCAAATGGCAAGATGCCATTTTTCTTGTGAATGTTCAGCTATTTTCCTTCTACTATATATATAAAAAAGGATATTTGAGAAGGATAGGGAAAATACTGAGAAAAGATATCTGCCAAATTATATTGTTAAATTGTGTGCATGTACAAATATGTAACAGCAAATCCCACCATTAGGTACAACTATAAAAAGAATAGTAATTTTTATAGCATCAATTAAAAAACTTGGAAAAAATACTAGTAAAGTTTAATTTTATTTTGCTACATATGGATTTCCAGTTTTTCCAGCACCATTTGTTGAAGATGCTATCTGTTCTCAGGAAGACATTTAGCAGTGGATGAACTGAAGTCAGAATGAATTTCATTTTTGTTTTTTCTTTTTGCAATAGGAAGATATCTACCATTTCCATATCCCTTTCTACCATTTTTGGAAAGATGGATCAGAATTAACTCTCAGACACAACTAGTAAAATAGCAAACTTCTGCTACGCCATGGGTTTCCCCAAGTTGAGCAAGGTGGGGCCAGGACTTCTCCCTTTAGTGTTAGGGCTTGTAGACTTTTCCATAAGCTAAGAAGCTTGCACAGCCCAAGGGCAGAGAGAGTACAAGCCTGTAGCTCACAGAAGACTGTTTATTCTCAACTAAAATTAAGCACTATTAAAATCCAGAAAATGGCTAGATTTACCAAGATTGACACTTTACTTTTTTGTTTTGTGGAAAGAGTGC